GAGTTATCTTTTTTTATATAAATAAGGTTTATTCTTTAACAAAAACCGTATTAATCCAAGTTTCATACCTTGTGCAATATTTAAGAAAAATTCAAAAAACTTTCAAAAACATTTAGAGCTTTTTAATTGGATTTTCTAGAAATATTTTGAGTATGCTGTTTTGTAGCCCACTCAATTATAGAATAGTAATAAAGTGCAAGTTTCAAATGGTTAAAAATTTTTGTTTTAGGATTTTTTCCAAGTTGTTGCAGTTTTCTTCAATATAAAATAAATTATTTTCATTCGCTATGTGAAAGCAAATGCAAAGAAAATTCTAAAAAATCAACGGTAATTTTTGGCCATTTAAAACTTTGTTATACTAGAATTGAACGAGCTGAAATTCCCCACAAAAAACGGTCCATTCCCCGATTCCCCACGTATTGCGGCGAGTTCCCCACGAGTTGGCTTCCCTGGTGCAAAGTTATATTACTCGATAAATATCAAAGGATCAAAGTTTTTTACATAAATAAAAATCATAGATCATAAAAGTTTTTGATAATGCAAATTCTCATTGGCTAATTTTTTAGACTCCCAGTGGTTAGCATTAGCATTGCCAAAGCAACCTCAAACCTTTTCCTCATCCTAAATATATTATTACACCGTGCGACAAAAACCCAAAAATTTTAAAACACACGAAAAAATCAATATATTCACAAAACTAGGAGCCAAATATAGTATAACTGCGTTTTTAATTTTTCTCTCTGGCGTCAGGGTTTTTTATTAAAGGACTTAAAAAAATTATTTAAAAGATTTGGTGCAATGTAGATTAATAAAAGGGGTATCAGTTAAAAGGAAAAATTCTATAGAAATAAACAAAAATGGAATTGACGAATATATATTGAAAATGTTCGTTTAAAATTTTATCCTTGAATATCCTTGGAAATTTCCAATATTTATTTTTGAAAAAAGATATGTCAAGGACTAATATGTCAACTACCACATCCTCGAATTTCGTCCTTCTAGCTTTATTAGTTTTAGATAAAAAAATTTTAAACTTCTTACATTTTTATAAAAAAAATATTTTAAACAAAAAAATCACTAATCGATTTTTAAAAAGTTGATATCGTTGTAAACTCAATCAAATCTTCTTTCTTCTGATATGCGTATTTGTATACGTCGTTTATAAAAAATTGAGACAAACACTAAAAATGTTTTTATAAAAAAAAATTTACAAAACAATTATGATCCGATTTTTAAAAATTTGATTTCATTGTAAAGGCAAGTAAATACCCTTTCTTCTGGTGTGCATTTTTAAAATACTTCTTTTATAAAAATTTGAGAAACAACACTTAAAAGAAAAAAATACATTTATTTTATAAAAAGGATATTTAAAAAAAAAAAAAAAAAATACCAACCGAGTTTTAAAAAATTGGTATCGTTGTAAAGGATACCAGAAAACTTATATTTTCTAAATCCCAAATGCACAATGTGCACAAAGATAAAAAATTTATTAACAACACTTTTTCCTTCTATATAAACTCCAGCAGTATTTAAACCGTACATCATACGGTCAGTTTGTTCTTTGGTATTTGGTTTATGTGGTAGTTAACATAACTCCTTGACATGTATTTTTTTCAATAATAAATATTGGAAATTTCTCAGGATATTCATGGATAAAGTTTTAAAAGGACATTTTCAATACTTATTCGTCCCGGTGCACCCAATTTTTTTTTTCTATTCTGCAGAATTTTTCCTTTTAATTGATACACATAGTTTTATTCTACAATGCATCGAATCTTTTGAATCAAATTCTAGAAATTTCAAAATCCTTTAAAAAGCTCTTGACGTCAGAGAGAAAAACTAAAAACGCAGTTTTACTATATTTGGCCGCCAGTTTTGTGAATATATTGATTTTTTCTGCGTAAAATTGACCGTCGCACAAGCGCTGCCATCAAAGCCATCGACGTGGAATGTCAGTCGTGTGAAAGTTAGTTAACAAGTGGGCGTGACGCATGGCTACAACCAATTGGAATTCGCTGCTCTTCACATTATTCCGCTTAGTTCGTGAAGCATGCGAGAAACCCTTTCCCATGCCGCCCTCTGTAAAAACTTTCACTGCAGCTACGCTGATAAAATTGTATTTGCTTGTTGCTGCATGATGCTCCTCAGTTTCATTTAGAAATTGTATTTATTTTGTTGGTATCGAAGAAAAGTTTAATTGATTTTGCAAACATGTTGCGTGCTCGGGCATAAAATTATTATTTGAACAGAATATTTATAGTGTGTGTGTGTGTGTGTGTGTGTGTGTGTCTGTACACTGCAACAAATTGTGCGACTAATCTCTAAAGAGAGTATTCCGGGATTACTCTCAATCGGGTACAATTGGGCATTAATTAGTCCCAATTAGTCTCATACGGGTACTAATGGAGGTCAATTAGTCTCGACTCATCCCTTGTGGGTATAATTGGAGATCAATTAGTCCTCAGCTCATCTCTAACGGGTACTATTAACGATTTAATGACATGTACGCTCTTAGTCAATGAAATTTTATGTGCGGCATTGGCACAC